TCATGAGGAATATAGTAGGACACCAGCACAGAAAACACTCCAGTGTAACCGACTGGCCGATTCTACACTGGGATTCTTTCTAAGGTTGGCAATTCCATAGGACAGCAGTAGAACAGAAGAAACCATGGGCTGTTTTGACTTGTCTCACGCAACCAGTGTGACTGTTGGGTTCTTCTTTGGATCAGGAACAGGATCCCACAGTTTGGTTATCCTCCAGCATTTCTCACCTGAATAACTCTTGATGGCAAAGCTGTTAATGAAGCAGATGGTAAGTTTCAGATTTATATTTTGCCATGCCTTGCTATCCCCAGAACATTCAACATCTTTCACCGGAATTTCCTTGGGCTGGAAGGTCACTTGTGTGGCCACATTAACAATTGGTCTGGATCTGCAAATACCAGAAAACAAAAATAATTTACTAGTCCCTATGGATCAAAGCTTCTATGTCTAGGTGAGTGGGGAGGAGGGAATCACCATTTATTACAGAAGAGAAAGAAATGTAGGAGTTTAATATAGTGGACTACCTGTAGATTCCATGGAAAGGGAAAAGCACTGTGTTTATGCAATAAACAATTAATTTAATTTAATTTAATTTAATTTAATTTAATTTAATTTAATTTAATATAAAGAATAATTTTCCAGCTTAGACAGACCCCCATCTTCCTAATATAAACAGTAGTGCCTCTGTCCTGTAGTTCACTTCCAAACAATCCAGGGAACTTATTTCCAATAATTTACTCCTCCCCATCTCAACCAGTTAGAATAAGTTCAGTCACTTTTCACAAAAGTAAGGATGCTATATTTTCTCTTTTTCCCCAATTAGTTATTGTTAACAAGAATGACAGTTTTCCTTTATTCTGCCCTTAATCTGCAAGTCTTAGTTCTGCTTTCAGAAGAGGAGAAAGAAATGGGGGGGGAGGGGAATGAGTTTTTCTTTCTCATGCTCATATGGTCTCTCACATAAATCTCAAATTCCTTATTTTCATTATTTAAATGAAAAAGCTATATTTTCAATTATTCTAATGAAGCATCAAGAAATGAGTGTCTTTTAAATATCTAAAGCCTCTTTTAATTCTTGTTATAGTATCTTTTGAGGGTAACAAAAAGCTATCCATACAAGTTGTGAAGTTTTCATTTTGACCTTCATTTAGATGTAATCCTTTCTCAAGTTTATTGTTATTGTTCTAGGAAATGAAAACTCTCTAAATAAATTCCTAGTTTAAGAAAGGATGGAAACTGAAGATGTGCATCACATGTCCTACAACTGATCTATGGTCCTTCCTCCACTTTCTGAAGTCTTACAGCCCCACATGGGACAACCTAAGAGTATGAATTCTCAGTCACTTACTGGAGCACCACCACCTTTCCCAGAGCTCCTACTGCAATGTTTGTGAGACCATCTCCACTGAGGTCTGTCTTTCCATGGATGGACTGTCCAAAGTATCTCAGGCCAGGAGAAATGGTAGCTCCAGTAATTCTCTGCAGGAGATAAATGCTGTTGACTTACATGGAACTAAAGTTTCAGACTGGAAGGGCCTTTAGACTGACCCTTTCGAACCATCAGAAGGGTGGTGCTTAAAAGACCAATCTTTTAGGCCACATCTTAATACATTTTATTACTTTTTTGGAATGATGATAGATGGTCATCCAAAAGTATTTTTTTTAAATGCAGCTACCCTTCCCAAACCTGGAGTGAAAGAAAGCAATCAATGACTTCTTCCATTGGTAATCCTCCTCCTACCATCACCCCATCATTTCATATCCTTTTTTTTTTTTTAATTACAAAAGATCCATTAAGGAGGGAGCAATAGAATAGATGCAAGATTTCTTTGGTCAGTCATGTTGGGGCTGTCCATCCAAAGACATAACATTTGACAGACAGAAGAAGCCTTGGAGACCATTGTTAGCCTCCCCAAGTAGACCAGACAGGAAACACGACCAGATGAGCTAATTCTACTTTATTGTGAGGCTACATTAACAGACGCTTGCAAGCCTGAAAGTACAAATCTCCTGCCATCTCCTTACAGCCTGAGAAGTTAGGGAGGGTCCCTTCTGAGCCTCTTTCTCCATCCATTATGCAGCTGTGGGCTATTCCATCTCTTATCTGACTGTTCCCTAGGCAGCATCTCTTCACCCAGTTTCTCAAGGTCTTTCCCACATACCGTTACAACTATGGAGACTCATCAATGCTCTAGGCAGCTAGTTCTAATGTTCTTCCAACCCAGAGAGTGATTTTCAGAATGTGAAGTGAATGTGTCAGAAATGTTCTGTGAACCCTTGTCCTGAGCATGTCTCCTGATTGATGGTGACTTGCACAGAAATGTTCTGGGCAGGTCCTGGCTAGCTGAGTGCCCTGGGCTCCCAGGAACCTTTAGTTTATTTCTTATACAAGTAAAAGGTACATTCCCCTTCAAATTGAGCTCCACTCCTGGTGATTTTCCAGACACATCCATGTAGTTTTATTGGCAACAATATGGAAACAGTTTACCATTGGCGTCTTCTGGGATGCCTACAGCTCTAGCATTTACTAGTGGTTTCCAGTCCAAGTACTACTCTGATCTGACCTGCTTAGTTTTGGAGGTCAACAATGATCAGCTGGGTGTGGCATGCTAGCAAATCTCTCAGGTGACGCTAGCATGCAAAATCATTGCCGTAGTCATACCTGGCTATACTGCATACGCAGAGTCTTCTCGTGGCTGTTATAGATGTAGACAGCTCCCCTCTCTTCATCCTCTAAGGGAGCTCCTACAGCCACATCCACCTGTCCATCCCCATTGATGTCTGCCAGATCTGTGATGGCTGCTCCAAATCTGCCCAAGGGGTATCCTAAATCCCCATTAAGTTCTCCAAGAAGAATGAGATTATCCTGGAAGGAAAGGTGTCTTTGAGAAAGCGTTCACTCTCCGAATCTATAATGCAATGTGGCGATCCCACACATGTATAGAATATGTGTTGCCCTCCCATTTTCCTTGCTCACCTCTTTCCAGCCATATGCATAAACCTGACCTCCTCTCATTTCTGTGAAATATTGCTGGGCTCCAATAAGCAGCAGATCTGTTTCTTGATCACCATCTATATCCACAGTGCAAAGCACCCCACCAAAATATGACCCAGTCTGCAAAAGAAGGATTAAAGTGCATATAGTAAAAGGGCAGAGTATCAGCACAGGATCCCTAGTCATATACAGTATAATAACAGCTCCTTATGATTCTCTTTTTCTTTACCTGTTGCCCTTTAATTTCTTGTTTTAATGTCCAATTCTGACTGGTGGCATTGACCTCAAATAAGAGGACCCTTCCCAGATGTTGGTATCGAGGGGCACCAACAGCATAGAACTCTTTCTGATGATGCTGGAGAAACCCGAGTGCGTACCCTGTGAAGGTTAGAAACACATAGATGGAAACACCATAGAAGGGTTAGACCAAGGGCCTTCTGCAGAACAAAGCAGCTTATCCTTGAATTCTGCCATATAGTAGGGAGGGTTAGAAACTCTGCCTGAGCTTACACACGGTGTTATACCATGTCTTGTTTTCACTATGACTTCTTAAATAAGCCACAATAGCTAGATTTACACATCACACTGAGCCATAGTTTGTTTTACTTACTTGGGAAAGCATATCAGAACAGCTAGGCTCATACATCATGTTAAACTACAGAACATGGTTTATAAACCATAATTATTGGATTCACACATTACGTTAAATTGCTTCTCCTGCTTTTTAGCAATTGGTCTTTAGAGACCCATACAAACTGTTGAGTCTATGCAGCCATCAAGGCTATAGGCATAGATTTCATAGAAGGGGGTTAGGAAGGAAAGGTGTCTTTGAGAGAGTGTTCACTCTCCGAATCTATGATGCAATGTGGGGATCCCACAGGTATAGAATATGTGTTGCCCTCCCATTTTCCTTGCTCACCTCTTTCCACCCATATGCATAAACCTGACCTTACAAAGGCATCTTCTATCCAAATGCTTAGTGAGTGTCACTATTCATACTTAGGAATAATTTTAAGTGTATCTGAAACAAGAGCCAACCACAAGATTGAAAGACAGGTTGACTCATAACCCTATGTCCCATAGAAAAGATGGCTATAAGATAGCCATCCAATTCTCTAAGATAAGCAACAAAAAAAAAAAAAACCCTCCAATTTATACAAACATAGAGCTGAAAAGAAAGATCCAGATCCACCTTTCATAAACTGGCACCCACAACTGCCATGATCCCCAGGCAATGTGATGACGGATGGGAAAGAGTAGTTCAGATAATATTGGGAATGATGGCATTCCCTACTCACCCAAGTATGCCCCTTCCATCTCTTTCCGGACTGAGGGAGTTGTGATGAATCTTTCACCGTCAAAATCATTCTGCTGTTCTAGAATGCCCCCAGCCCAATTGTCAGCACCCACAGCACCTAGAATCACCCGATCCTGCAGTCAAAAAGAT